TAATTCCAAATAGCATATATATTTTAGTTATGAAACACAACCTATGTTTTATGATATTTTTGTTTGCTAGATATTTGCAATGTTACCTGACAGCATTTGTTCCTAACATTGTCTTCATGTTGGTAAGTATGTATTGACAGCATTTAATTCAAGAAAGTAAATTTTCAGTCAGACAACAGTTATAAATACTTCAAAATGTAAGAAAAAAGCTTCATAGTAAGCACGAAGTGTGTCATCATTGACTAACAATAGCTCTATGCATGCTACATATAAGCTACATATTCAAAAGACTTACACAAGATCTAACGCATGGATGACACAGATAAGTTAAATACATAAACATAAAATAATATATGATATAATATACATAAATATATATGACATAACATATCCAGAAAGTGATTGAATAGTTGGATGATCTATTTTTCTGATGTTATTATTAACAGGAAGATGCTAACTCCCTGATGTATCTGATGTACGAAAACTACCATACAGACGTTTCTCTGAAGTCCGTGAACAACCATCTGTACGTCCGTTGGTCTGTCCAGATCTACAACTTTTTAGATGATAACATAAAATTTGGGGAAGTGGTGATGTCGATGGCAGGGAGGGAAACAACAGATCTCTGAATATTGACATTATCGACAAGTACAATTAAGTTGATTATTGAATACCTTTAATATTCAGATAAACAACACAGAACAACATACATACTCTACTACAATAGTGTAATGATAAAAGTAACATGTAACGCCGTTTCAACTGGCTAAAAATCTTTTGCTTTTACCTAGTAATGGGGAACATTATATTCTCATATCTGTGTATTTATGAGATTTAAAAGTTCATTTTGATTGGTCAGACTTGTAAGTGGCAAAATATATTCACTCTGTCCATTGATATGCCAAATTGTATGTTGATTTGACAAAATGACAATCAACGAAAACATCATCTTTCCTGTACAAAATCTGTTTTCCAATAAATCATGTCGGAATAAGATATCATATCGATTTCTTTAATCCGTCATTATTTTCAAAAGTGAGCTTGTATTTGATAATTAAGAAGAGGTTTATTTTCATTATATTCTTTTCATGAAGCAAGACGTATACGAAGCACTCTTACAGCGGTTAAAGTCCAAGTGTATACGATCAGAGTATTGCAGTGTTGTACTGCGCTACTAGTGACTAGAATGTCGTCATTGGAACTGCCAAACGTGCAGACTAACAACGATTCTGATTGGCCCGGGACAGAGCAACATGTGTGTGCTGTTTTCATCCGACCACGTGGACTTATAACACGTGTATATCTTACAGTGAATAACTCAATTAAGTGGTTCACAGTTCATGACAACGATGTCTACTCACGGTTCATGTGATAGATCCCGTATGTATGCCACAGACACAAATATATAGTATATGACGGAATAGAGCACTCAAAATACATGTCCATGTCGTTGTAGCATTCTCTGACCTACTTCTAAAACATGGCTTCCTGGGTTAGTACAATATAGCAGGGGGAATTTCAAACGGAACGAAACGATATGGAGTTTGTTTGTATTCCGCTTGTTAAACATCACATGTATTCCGTTTTTGTGTTCACCGGAAAATCATGGCAAATGTTGTCTGCTTCACTTTGAAAGAGGATTTTGTTTTGTTTATGTCTTTGACACCAAATTTTTCTCATTTAATCATGGATTTATGGAAAGGAACATTTATTGGACCCTGCTGAACATTCAAATGTATGTAAACACCATTATACTTTTTCTAAATCCGAACTTTGAAAATCAGCTATGGGCAGTTAGAGGTTACACGGCGCCTGTCAAAAGTTTTTCGCCGTGTATTTACAGCTGATGTACGGATCATCTTCTTTGTTTTTTTAAACCAATGAATTAGCGTTAAAAGTTACAAGCAATATGCATATAATAGAAGACATATTTAAGCTCTTACACATGCCGTTTGTTTTTATTTGTAAGCTCAGAAAACTTGTATACAACGAAACACTTGAAGTAGGCACATTGTATAATGACTGTTGTGTACAGTATGACGTACAGTTCAAAAACGTTACTATGATAAATGTCCCCGATCACAGCAACTTCACACGTCATAACCGCA